ACAGTCACCCAGGACGGGCGCAGGCCCTCCAGCCCAGGGGAAGAAGGGCAGACTCCTGCTGTAAAGGGGGGTGCTGGGCCTGGGTGGGAGGGCCATGGCCGCGGCCCACAGTGCCTATGCCACACGCTGGGCCAAACCCTGGCAGTCTTAAATGAAGAGAAAACCAAACCAAAACTTCTGTGCACGCTCCCATTGCTAATAGATGAGGTTTTTTTTAGAGTTAGTTTTCTAGACTGGCAGCATCAGCTAGTATGTGGCCTATATTCTGAAGTCCAGACAAATTATTTCCAAGAGTCTCACTTGCTAACACAGCTCCGCAGCAATTAAAACTCTGCCATCCCCCAATACCTGAGTTCGTTTTCTTACAACTCCCTTCATTTCCGACACAGACAAATCCTTTAGCTTGCACACTGTTGAGTATCTAGGCAGCACACCACCACAGAAAGGGAGCTCAACTCCTCTAACCGCACACCTGGAAATCAGAAATTAAAACAAAACCCGGAGTGGGAGGTTTGCTTTGCTTCTACCTGTTTTTTGACGTTCTCCCCTCTGCAATCATCAGCGCTGCTGAGGGCTCCCAGGCTGTAGGTGCTCCGAGAGGTGATCTGCCAGCGATGGCCAGCAGGGCTGGCCCTCTGGGATGTGAGGGAGCTGCCTCCACCAGGCTCCTCAGCGGTGGCCAGGGGGAAAATGGCGGTGAGGTGCCTTTCAGTACCTAAAGGGGGCCTACAGTAAAGGTGGAGAGGGACTCTTTCTCAGGGAGTGTAGCAATAGGACAAGGGGTAATGGTTTGAACCGACAGAGGGTAGATTTAGATTAGACATTAGGAAGAAATTCTTTACTCTGCGGGTGGTGAGACACTGGCCCAGGTTGCCCAGAGAAGCTGTGGATTCCCCATCCCTGGAGGTGTTCAAGGCCAGGCTGGATGGGGCTTTGAGCAACCTGGGCTGGTGGGAGGTGTCCCTATCCATGGCGGGGGGGGGGAAACTAGATGATTTTTAAGGCCCCTTCCAACTCTAACCATTCTATGATTCTAAGAAAAAAACCCTGCCCCAGCAGGCAGCCCAGCATGCGCTCCAGTGAGAGCTGCCGAAGGGAGACAGCAATGGCGGGAAAGCAGGGCGGCCACCTTGGGCTCCCTCACAGCTGCAGGTGATAGTGGGTAATGGCTTTTCACTTGTAATGGCTTAATTTGTCACAGGCCCTGGGCTCTCCATGTCGTATGAGGGGCCCTTAGAGGGACTACATGTTCCTCAGCCCTGCAGAAGGACACCATATCCCCACGAGCAGCTCTGGCTGGAACATACACGTGACAAGGTTGTGTAAAAGTAAAAGCTAATTAAACCAAAATCCTTTGGTCATCAGGTCAAGGTGCAGCATAAATAGGGTTGGTACAGCCTCCGTGAAGTGTGCTGTAAAGGTGTGATCTTTGATCGGGGCGAGGTGCCACAGGGGAACAGCTCTTTGGGCTGGGTGTCTGCGCACTCTTTGGACTTCCTTTGAAGGGTGTAATTAGCAGCAATGGCTATTTTATGATGGGAGATAGCTTTCAGCAAACAATCTGCCCACTCTCTAGTCACATCAGCACTTGAAGGTCAATAGTTACTTAGTCCAACTGCAGTGCCCCAAGTGCACTTCCTTGCTAACGCTTTTTTATTTCCATTTCAGTTACACTTTGAGGTGATCTCGTTACCTTGTGTGCTCCCCGTATGGCAGGGATGTGCTGTACAGCAAAGGCTTCGGACAGCAAATTAAAACTGTGCAAAGTAGCGTGGCCATGTTTGTTTAATCTGAAAGCTTTTTTGGGAAATGTCCAACACCAAATATTGGCCAGATCCAGTGAATCATTCCCATTACTCTTGTTTGTTTTCTACAGCTAGTCCTAGGGACAACCACCCTCTGCACTGAGAGAGACAGATGACAACCACAGGATGAACAATTTCCTTTAACGATTGCATCAGGCCCCTCTGTTAAGTTACTATTTTCTACAGAAACCACACACACTGATGAAGTAACTAGATAGTATAGTACTATACTGACAGCATCATGTGGTAGAGAAGCGTGCGGGGCAGGGGACATCAGACAGAGAAATGCTGACACCAGGGCTATCAAATGCAAAGAACACCAAATGAAAACCTCAGCGCAGCTCTTGGATAACTGCAGATCTTGTATCATTGTGGTTAAGGCCTTTAAATATTATTGTAATAACAAAAATTAGTAGTTAATTAATAACTGCATGTATACTGCAGAAAGCAACCTTCTATTCTTCCAGAAAACTATTTACAAATAGAGTACTTAAGTTATCACCCACCTGCAGTTAGAAAAGCATGACCGTAGATTCTAATGGTGATTAGAGGCATTAAAAACGTTTCTAATGGTTTCTATATTTGAAAATTTACTAAGCCAGTGAGCATTTTAATTAAACTTTGCAATTAATATGAAAGTTGAAAGTTCCATGGAAAAGTACTGGTCAGGGTAAGTAAAGATAGCGATTGTTAAAAAAAAAAAAGTCAACAAACAAGCAGAACCAAGAACAGAATGGAGTAGGAAACAAAATGGAGAGAACAGAATGAAGAGAAGGATGAACATAATTGTTAAATTTATTTCAACAGCCTCTAAATTGTCCATGAAATAAAAAGTCACGGGTTTGCATAACACAGGACATGGATGTCTTATTCTCATAAAAGTCAGCTCATAAAATTCAGCCAATTAAATTTTTACTACAGAGTTACAACAGAACAAGGAAATAGTTTGTATATTGCTTTATAGATTTGTGTTGTGTACTTGCAGTGGGGAGATACAGTAATTGCTCTTGGTGTGCTTTACTTACAAGAAAAAAAAACTAATCTGTGCAGGACAAAGAGTATTTTTAGGGACAGTGGGAGAACACACAAAATTGTCCCAAGAACTTTAACAATACTTATAATCTTTTTGAAGTGCAGAAAAATATTTTGATTTCTCACATTATGTGAATACTCTCCCCATAAATCTGTATTAAAAAAAAAAAGATCAGCTAACAAAGCAAAACATTCGATTACCTTTGCTATTATGCTTCAGCACAGGATGAGAGAAGCGACCACCTGTGACTGATGGCAGTCACACTGCTTAATATACTACTGGAAGATACCACTGAAAAGTAGTTAAGTACAAAGATTACATAAGAATGGAATGACTTACACTTATTTCCCTAATGTTGACAGATACTTAGGTCATGGTATTTACAGACCATACAAGTGATTTACTGAAGAACAAACTCATTTATTTCATGCATCAACTTGCAGCACAGCACTTTTTTTTTTTTGTTTTGTTTGATACAGTCAGTAAAAATGTGGAAATATGGAACAACTTACAGAAAATATTTTAAAATATTTTTCTATTAAAATACTTGAAACTTCTATTCCTCAGAGCACTGGATTTCTGTGGTTATATGCTATCAAATCGTCTTGTAACGTCATTCCTTAAAATGAAAGCTCAGAATGTATTCTGAAGACTTGTAATTCCTCTCACTCTTAAAGATAAATGCTGCTGAGTCATTCTTACTTGATAAACAAATATTTACGTTGCATCTGCACACAAATATGGGATAGAGTAACATTCAAACTTTTTTTTTTCCCTCAGCGTCAATAAATCTGAAGAAAATAGAAAGCTCCTGGAGACAAGCTACCTTAAAATTCAGAAGACAGCTTTACTAACTTAAGTTTTGTCTTTGCTGCAGCAGAGTAACCTAAAGCACTTCACTATTACTCACTTACAGGGACTTTTTCCATTAGGACTTGTTTCACTTTTGCTTTCTTCCTCACAGAAAGTAATACGCATTCTGAACATCCATTGTAAAAGTAACTGTATAATAATACACTGTGAAACTGCTCAGAAGGGGACATATACAGAAAACATCCACAAAAGACTGTTCTACCACTGGATGCATATATTGCCTCATTAATTTACTGGGGGTCTGCACATTACATTACTTCCTTGGCTGACCCATAAGAAAACACACAGATGCTTAAAGAGGAACTGCCTCTTCACAGAGTCATTCTTAATTTCCATCTGCTTTTTTCTCTTTTTTAAAGCAGACGTCCCTAATAGCATGTATCTAGATATGCTTAAAAATATTGGTAAAAATATAAAATAACTGTGCAATACATTTGAGCTAGCATATGAACTACCTTGCACAAAAAGAAGAAATTAACATTATGTAATTAGTTTTGGATAATGCAAGTTTCCTAATTCTAGTAACTTTTTCTAATTTTAAACATGAACAATATTGAAATACAACAGAAATTATCTCATTTCCAATTCTTTTAGCCATGCTTAATTCTTATGTTCTAATCCTGCAGCCTCAAATATACCCTTAAATAACCTACTGGACTCCTCAGTGGGTTAAGGTGAGCACATGTGTAAGTTTTAGTATTAACAGTAGAACATTAGTTTTGATTTAAATTGTCATCACATCTAACGTACAAAACAAATGCAATTATACTTATGACCACATACGTTGCCATACAAAGACATCCTCTGGCTATGATGACTATTTGGTCTGTATACAACATTGAAACACAGTACGGAGAGGGAGCAGACCAGGAATCCTGATTTAGAATGGCTTTTGGGTAATCTCAATGTATGGAATTTACATGGAACGTTGTAAAAATTTAAAACATATTTTATTAAAAATATATAAAATTACAAAATTAATGTATTTTGAGAAAAAAAACTACAAAAAGTGTGAAGGCTTTTTCTGTCTATAATTACCATCTGAGTATTCAACGCTTGCCATCAAATGCCTACTGAAAAGGAATATTTGAGACAGATTTTTGGACTGTGTGGATGTTGTATGCCAACTTCTAAGGCAACATGAAACTCCTCATCCAGAGTCCAAAAAATGTAGGAAGACCCTAAAAATGTAGCAGAAGCATTTCCGCACACTGATTTCAGTAGTCAAGTTTGTGCAGAAGTGATTCCACTAGATTCATAGGGTACCCTTTTCAGGCAACAGAAACTTGTCACTTCGTAAGCTTTCTGACATTTTCCAGCTCTTCTATAGGTTTCCATTTCTGATGGATTGTTAATAGCTGGAAGAAATTCAAAGGAAAATATGAAAGAAATTAGCAAAACCCCAGTAAGCATTTACTCCACTCCCACCCCTCCCCATATCATACATCAACTTATCGGTGAAGAAGGGTTTCTAGTAGCTTCACATTTTCCTTTCAGCAGTAAGCAAAAATAGCAACTGATAATATATTTAATAACTTGTTGAACAAAATCACTTGGATATTAAATAAGTAATAATGGCAAATAATTTTATTTTTCCTTATCCTAGATGCTCTACTAAACTAAGATTTTTTTCCTTCAGGCTGTAGTACTCAAAAACATTCTTAGTGAATTTTGTGATTCAGGAACAAGGTGAGGGTAAACAGCATTTCCTCTATACTCCAAACTTCCACTGTTATCAATGGAATTGAGGAAATGGATGTTGGGGGCTAGGGAACACCAACCAGAAGTACGCCATAAATTCAGGATCAGACCAAGAATGTAATAGCCGAATCCCGATCGTTAAGTAATACCGGGAAGATATCTTACGTAAAGTAATGAATTAAGCAGTTAGTTCCACTTTTAAGTAGATGTATGTCAGATTTACATTTTTTCCTCATTAATATTTTTCTAGTTCTTACACATTTAAAAGAAGTTATTAATTGTGCTGGAAATACACGATATTTGTACTGACTATATTATTTGTACAGATTACCTTCTGAGGCTTGGAAGGATCGACAGTTTCCCATGGTTCTGGATTGCCACTCTTGTTAATGCTTTAAGAGAAGATAAAGCAAAACAGGTACTATGTTTTAGGGTGTGATCTTGCATATGTTTTTCTTATATGAGCAGCCTATCATCAGGAGAACTATTCATGTAAGTAAGTAGATCCCCAAACCACATGTTTACAGGTTTGGGCATTTCTGTTTCAAATTCTAGGCAAGAATCAGTGATGGCCTGCTTTATCTGCAGCTTCCAAAGCACCAAAACAGCCAACATTGTTCAAGTATAATGATCTGTTATCGTAAGGGAAGCAAGCTGAAAAATCAAAACTAAATAGACACAGAGAAAAAGTAAGGGGATTCTTACTCTGATAGCTAAAGTATCTATTCCCATCACTTTAACGTAAATATAAAAATTCCTGAAAGCTTAAAGAGTATAGTACTTAGCTCAAATTATTACCCAAGCCATTAAAATATTAACTTACTATAAGTTCATATTATCAAATGCTGTTCTTGATATACAAGTCAATAGCCTGGTTGCAATATATCTACATGTTGTCTGCCTATCTGATGATTTGAAATTCTTCACAAGAACATTTAAAACCTATTACACCTAAAGCAAAGACAAATTATAATCTATTAAATCAAAAGTTAGGAAATAATTTGGACTACACTCTGAATTAATGAATTTCTTCAGTATTTTCAACCTGCAGATATCTTAGTCTTTACTAGTAGTCTGGAACATCCACATGGATTTTTTTTTGGTGGTGCAAAACATGATGGTCAAATACCTCTGTTGAACAAAGAAGGTTAGGATGAACCCCAAGCAAAAAGTATTTTGCTTACATGACATCGGATTTGCTGAATAAGGAATAGACAGAAAAAGAGGCTGCCCCAACTGCTGCAAAGGACAATACTCCAACCAGGGGAATGAGCTGAAAGACATAAAATGGAGAAGAGAGTTGAAGAACTTGTGTCCTGGCTACGGAGCCACAAATACAGGGGGCGAGAGTTATGAGAAATTAAGGTGTAAGGATTACCTCTTAAGGTATATTACCTCTATATTGCTATTCACACCACCTTACTTCCAATGCATGAATTTCAACCTCCGCACGCCCCTCGCTATCAGAATTTCCTCTATAAGGTGCTCATTATTAAATGGCACCTGCTTGAGCCAGCCAGCATCCCCTCACCCCAGGGGCTTATTTCTCGCAGAACCAACCTCTCTGGCAAACTTACTTCTTTTTTTGCCTTTAGTATCTGGAAGAAGTTCCCGTGCATCCTCGCTGCAGCTGCGGACCTGGAACAAACGTTCTCTGTCACCGCACCTCGGGCCGGGATCCCCCTGCTCTCCCCGGCTGCGGGAGCCGGGCTCGGCCGCCCGCCCCGGGAGAGAGGGCGCGATGCCTCCCTT